GGGCGGATTGGACGTCCTACTACAGGTAAATAAGTGTCATCTTGCTTTGAATCTCTATGGGTCGGTTAGCCCCAGCATTGGCAAATTAATGGGCATGTGTCTGAACCACAGCTGTTGCTTAAAGCAGCAGATTGACTCAGTGTCCATGAGCACAACATATAGGCCTAATGCTACGCTGGAAAATGTTATGTTATGGAGAATTAGCTTGAAACCAATTTACAAACTATTTGAAAAAAAAAATTCTTAACTACATAAGAACAAGTTTAAAATACAACAGTAAACTAGCTTGCCAACCCCCAATAAATCCAAACACAAAGCAGAAGTCCTTTAGCATTTTTGGGAGAAAAAGTCAAAGCTAAGTCAGTGCCCAAAACAGACACTTGTGCTAAAGAAGTTTCTTGGTGGTTTCATAGCAGCTGCAAAATATGATGTGCTGATTTGGTGAGAATGCACTGAATGTGTTACAGGTGCCACTGCTGTCACTCTGTGCATGCTTTTCACTCTCTGAATCTAATCTGGGTTTTAGGTGGAAGTAGATAGGCCGCCATTACTGTGGTGGAACCTCACTTGTAAAATCTGTGTAACACTGTAATGTATGTCAAGGATTTTACTTTTTTGTGCTTTTGCAAAGAATTCTGCCCTTAGAGCCTGTTATATGCTGAAAAGATAGTCATCCTTTACCATTGAACTAAAGATTGTAATCTTCAAAACTTAAACTTTTCAATGACATTTAGTCCAGTTTTAACACAGGGCTTCACATCTTTTCTGTACTGTGCTATTACCATTTGCACCAACAAAAGAATGGAATCAACTTTATTGTCATATACAGTCATACACAGTACAATGTATAGTGAAACAGAAACTGAATGTAAAATTCATAATTTCCTGCACCATCAATTTTACTTTTGTAGATCACCATTAAACTTTCATGTTGCATTTTGATCAAAGGGCTGACCAGGAACCACCAAAGGCAGAGTGATCTGGTTACACGAGGCCGATGATGAGCTGCCACCCTGCTGATCTCTTGCTATTTTGGTACTATGTTTCCTGGCCAAAATTCCACTTTTACAGTATCACTTGTTTCCGAATAGTATTAAATGATACATTAATTCAGATTACAATACAAGAAACCATGTAGTTTGATGATTTAACTAGGAAGTAATTCCTGTTGGGTATAATTAGCTTCTCCACAAAGCACAACACATTCACACAGACTAACTTCATCTGTCAGATAGGCATTTGCCAACTGTGAATAACCCAAACATCTCTGTGTTCACTGTCAGTGTAAATGTGTTCAGTT